TACATAAATACTGGCTGCCATTATTATCAGGCCCCAGCTTCCTCATCTGCCAAAGAGAGCTGTGTCTGAGAAGAACACTGGAGCGAGGTAAGAGGCTCTGGCTCGAAATCCTGGTTTATACCTTCATAGTTGTGTGTCTGGGGTAAGTCTCTGGACCACTCTGGGCCTCGGGGTCTTCCTTTAAAACTGGTCTCATGTAACTTAATGAAGCCTCAGGTACGTGACCACTGAGAGGTCTTCTTGCTGGCGCTCCACTGTGGTGGGAGCGTGAGATTCAAAGGCAAGACCATCATTTCACACCTGGGTTCTACCTCCCTACCACCCGTGGACCCTGTCACGGTCACCCCCAGTTCTCGGGTCTTAGTTAGGGTGCTCATCTGTAAAATGGCCCACTCTTCCCCCAAGGTCCCTGCCAGGTCTAAATGGAGGACCACCCACAGAAAAAGCTCCAGTGCTCAATCACTCAGGCCAAGGGGCAGGCATCATCTGGTCTCTCCATTTCACAGAGAAGGAAAGTGAGGCCCACGAGGACATCAACCTGAAAGCTGTTTCCGTTGCCCCTCCCCCCACGCTTCCATCAGATCTTAGTCAAATCACAATCTTATGCAGATTACTGATAGACTCATAAATCTAAATATCCTATTAATTAACGTGGCTAGAGCTTACAAAGTACTAATTGGTGCCAGGGGGAAAAGAACAATTGGAAAAAAAAAAACGATTTTTTTCATGGTGATTCTGTTTTAGTATAAAGTATTCCCAGCAAGGAAATCAAGTTTCTTCCAGTCTACTTAAATTTGTTGAAAAGGGATATAATCTCCCAAGGAATTTCATGAAAAAGAAGCCACACCAACTTTCAAGTCCCTGGGGAGAAGGGAGGGAGAGAGGGCTGGGCTCCACAATAGCTCGCATCTCCCCAAATGGGCTTGCCTATTTGTATCGAAACATCCACTGAGACGATTTCTATTTCAGGGAGGCCGGTTGCTCTGAGAATGGACAGTAGCACGCTCTCCACACACCCCCGAAGTAGAACTCCCATGCTTGCACTCCCCAGCCTGCTCCCTTCACCTCCTCCACACACCCTACTTGGCCAACAGACAAGGAGAGTCGCTTCTAAATCTAGCCAAGGAAAAGTTTTACAACTACATACGAAATTTACTCTCCGGGACAGAAAGCCAGCTAGTGAGCTGAGAAAATTGAGAGCAAAAACCACTCTGAGATTTCAGGAAATGATGAACCCAACGAGTGAGGAATATATAGTTTAGAACTGCTCTACTGTATTATTACTACCCTGGGAATTAGGGTATAGGCCATAAAGGCTCTTCCCCTTCACTCTGTTTACTTTAAATGTTTATGGATGTAATTAGGATATAATGTATACAAATGCCAGGGATAGTAAAGTTATGTTATTTATACATTAAGCTTCCAATAACTGACTCCTCTCCTGCCCAACTGAAAAGTCGGGGATGGAACTCTGGAACACGCACAGCAGCTGATTCAGGCCATAGAAAGCATCTGAAAACACTGCCCGCCCTGCCTGCTGTTCCTGAGGAGAGCTCCCCACACCCCAGTCGCTGCAGAAGGCCAGACTTTACCGCTGTTTCCTCGGGTTTCTTTGGTACAGCGGGAAGACTTAAGACAGACATGGAAATAAAAATTTCCGGAGAACCGGCCAGGAAGTGAAGCCTAAGCACCCTAGCTTCAGAGTAATGAGCAAGGGCCTCTCTGAACCCAGAAAGAATCGAGTGGGGAGAGCCTGGGGATGCACTGCATACAGAGGCAGAGAGGGGCCAAGCTGAACTAGGGACCAGTATGGGGGGAGGGAGACTGTGGGGACTAAGAAAAGAGGCCTAGACCTGGAACCAGGGGACACCTCCCCAACTCTGAAGTTTACTAGCCAGGTGACCTTGGGTAAGTCCACTCACCATTCTCACCTTTGGCTTCCTCACCTGCAAAAAGGAAGAGGGACCATGACCTGCCTGGGTTACTAAGTAGCCTTAAGGCAGACAGACATCTGGGAGGTTTGGGAAGAGAAGCAAGAACCCCCTCGGAGAGTGAATTCTGACTGTGTAGAACAAGTGACCTAAGCTCTGGAGGCCTCAGCTCGCTCCTCCAGAAAGTGAGGACGTTGGACAGGACTGCCTCGGAGGGCGCTGTGATGCTGCGGCCCACAAGCCTGCCCTGCACCTCAGTCTCCTCATCCTTCGGCCTGGGTCCCCTCTGGCTCTTCCTAGGCCCACAGCCCCTCTCTGGGCCCTTTCTTTCCCCATCTATAAAAGTGGGCTGGGGACAGAGATGAGCTCCAGGCTCCCTCCTAACTGAGAAGCCAAGGTACCTTCAAACCAGCAGGTGGACAGTTCTATAGGATGGACAGGCAGAGGAGGACAGGCTAGGAGGCAGCGTGGAGGTCACGGAGCCCAACCCACCCACTTCATCCACGTGGAAACTTGAGCCCACGGAGGTGTACAGCTATCAGGAGAGAGCTAAAATACCAGTAAGGGTCATGGCAACCCAGAGTTTTGAGCCAGCAGGGAGCCGGCTGGAATCCAGCGCTGCCCGCCACGCGGGCCCTCCGCACTGGCCGCCTAGAGCAGCTCTCCCCTCTCCTTCCTTCACCCTTCGCCACCAGAAGAGAAGCCTGGAGAGCAGAGGAGAGCACACACATTGGCACTGTGGGCGCCAATCCATATTCCCAGCTCTTAGCCTGGCACCTGGCACAGAATGAGCACTGAAGAACTGCTTACTTTATCCACATACATACTTAGCTATGTGTCTTCCTACTTATCCATCTATCTACATACCTATCTATCCATATCTACATCTCCCTATCAATGTATTTATCAATGTACATCTCCCTCTACATAACTATCTATATATCTATCCCTCTACATACCCATCTATCTCTCTACGCACCTATGTACATATCTATCTATATAGCTATCTGCACATCTATGTATGTGTCTATGTATCTATCTCGGTATCTCTTTATGTATCTATGCATCCATCTACATACATATCTATCTGCACATCTATGTATCTATGTATTTATGTATCTATCTGCACACATAACCATCTGCACACATACCTACATATCTGCACATCTATATATCTATCTCAGTATTTATCCATGTATTTATGTATCTATCTACATACATATCTACATATCTATCTACACATCTATGTATGTATCTATGTATCTATGTCGGTATCTATGTATTTATGTATCTGTCTACATACACAGCTATCCACACACATACCTACATATCTATCTGCACATCTATGTATGTATCTATGTATCTATCTCGGTATTTATCCATGTATTTATGTATCTATCTACATACATATCTATTTGCAATCTATGTATGTACCTATGTATCTATCTTGGTATTCATCCATGTATTGGTGTATCTATCTACATACATATCTATCTGCACATCTATGTATCTATGTATCTATCTACATGCATATGTATCCGCACACATACCTACATATCTGCACAACTACTATGTACCTATGTATCTATGTATTTATGTTTCTGTCCACATACATACCTACATATCTATCTGCACACGTATCTATGAATCTATCTGCACATCTATGTATTTACCTATGTACATATGTATTTATCCATGTATTTATATATCTATCTACATACATATCTGTCCACACACATATCTATGTTATCTATCCATACATTTATGTATCTATGTATCACCTCTCTATATATTTATCCATGTATTTATGTATCTATCTACACACATATCTGTCCGCACACATACCTACATACCTATCTGCATATCTATGTGCCCATGTATCTTTCTATGTATTTATCCGTGTATTTATGGATTTATCTACATATATCTATCTGTACATCTATGTATCTCTATCTCTACATATTTATCCATGCATTTATGTATCTATCTACACATGTATCTATCCGCACGCATATCTATGTATCTATCTGTACATCTGCATGGTTATGTATGTATGATATATGTATATCTTGTCTATTTCTATCAATCTACATCTGTGTATACATTCACATATCCATCTTGTCTGGGTTCATATCTATCTACTTATCTACGTATCCATCTCTACTTCTCTGTGTCTCCACTTAGGTATGCATCTACTACACAGGTAGATATGTACCCTACATACATTCATGTACCTCTCTCTATGCAGGGATCTGTCTACATGTCTATTTCTCTATGTAGCCTCTATGCAGTGTCTCTCTCTTGCTCCCTCTCACCTACCTAGCTCTCTACTGACCTATCTAATCTGTCCAAGCCTCAGAGATGGGAAAGTCACCCCACTATCAGATGAAGGCAGAAGGGAACAGAAAGTTGGGGGGCTCAGTTACTCAGCATGGGGAGCTGCTTTGAACACTGAAGAGAGAGACAAAGGGAGGGAGGCAGGACAGGGTCCCTGCCATCAGGGAGCTCCTAGTCCAGCCCCTGACAAGGGTACCCTCACATCCAAGAGGAGGAGTGGAGGGAGGGGGAGACCAGGCTCAGCCATTCCACCACCACCCACCCCCAGCACGTGCTCTCCAACTCTAACTTGGAGGAACCTTTAGGGACCAGTAGGAGGAAAGGGGCTGGGATGGCTCGTCCTCCTCAATCGGCCTGGGGGGAGAGGGTCGTGTACTGGGAGGGGTCTATGTTTGGGGGGGGGTTGGTGTACTGGAGGGGGTCCTCCTCTGTGGGAGTGAGGTTGGTGCACTGGGGGGGGTCCTCCTCTGCCCGTCTGGTGCAGGGCAGAGGTCGCATACTGGGGGGTGGGGAGGCCCTCCTGTTCCCCTGTCAGGTACAGCGTGAGGGTCGCATACTGGGGAAGGGGGGGGGTCCTGTTGTCCAGCCTCTGGCCAGGTCACGAGGCTCACACTGGGGGGTCCTCGTCGCTCTGCCCATCGGGCAGGGGTCCCCGCCAGATGAGGGCGCAGGAGCTAACCGGGGCCAGTCCAGGGAGGGGTCACCTGGGGGGGGCTCCAGCCCCGCACTCACCACACTGCAGCAGGAGCTCCTGTCCGTCTCCCGCGTCCACGGCGTCCAGGGACAAGCCCGAGCTAGTCCCTGGGGCCTGCGGGGCGGGGAGGGGGACAGGGCAGGGGGCCAGGAAGCAAAGGCCACTTTCACTTTCACCCGGGGCGCATGCCCAGTGCGTGAGCAGCCGTAGTGCTGAGGACATGCCCACTGGGGTGGAGTCACTGCTCCTACCCCGCCCCCAGGCCAGCCCAGCCTCTCGGCTCCTCCCTACGCCATTCTCACCCCGGAATAGGGCCCCTTCTCTCCTCTGACACAGCCAGCCCCAGGTCCAGGCCCTCGTCATCTCACACCTAGACCATTGCAGTAGGGGGTGGGGCGTGAGTGCCTGCCTCGAGGCTAATTCATTCTCTGTTAAATCCCTGAACTGATTTTCCTACAGTGTCATCCCCCTACTTAATAAACTCCCAGGACTACCTCCTGGAGCCTCCAGGAGGGAACACAAAATACTCGGTTGGGCATTGAAAGCCCTTCCTAATCTGGCCCCCTCCTACCTTTCTAAACCTTTTACACCAGACTCCCCAACACTTACTCTTGGAGCCAGTGACCAGACCCTCCATCTCTGGGTTCCAAGCATTCGCTGGCTATTCCCCAAGCCTGGAAAGCCCTCCCTCCCTCCCCCTTTCTGACTAATGACCTTTCTGACTTCTTTTAAATCCCCGTTGAAATCCCACCTTCCTCAATCCCTCTAAATTCAAGGGCCTTCCCTGGGTCAAATATCTCCTATTTATCATAGTTCTCTCAGTATATTTGTTTGTATGTGCTCTCCCCTGTCAGACTGTAAACTCCTCTGCTTGACTCAGAAAAACATGGAAAGCCTTGGACATATGAAGGAAGATGCTGCCCACCTTCAGAGAAACAGATGACAAGTGGAAATATGCATACTGCAGTCCTACACAGATGTGCATGTGTATGCTTATAGATACCTATGCATACGTGCATATATATCCACTCTTAATTGTGTCCTTCTTGGGGGTGGGGAACAAAGTAAAAAGTGCACAGCAGAGAAAAAAAGAAAACTTACAAGGGAGCAAAGAAAAGCTGGACAGCTTTGAAAACAGTGTGTAGTATTTATTCCATAGGTTTTCCAGAAATGGAAATGTATTGCTTTAGACCGTATCCTCTCTTAGGTTCTGCTTCCTACGTGGCAATTTTTTTTTCTTATTTTGAACTTAAGTTTAAAATAAATTTTAAAACTTAAAATTTAAAAATTTAAAAATCCACAGGGCTTAGCACGGTGCCTGGCACACAGAAGGACTTAATAAATGTTTATTGAATAGAACTGAATTAAATAGGGAGCCATACATGTAATCTTATTTTGTCAGACCAGGTTTCCCACCTCTATGCCTTTGCACTGGCTGCCTCCCCTCCCTGAAACACTTACCTTCCTCCCTGCCCACTTCTTATGACCTCTGACTTCTTGAAGACTCAGCTCAAGCCCCAAGTCCTACAGGAGGTCAATGCCTGTTCCCCCTCCCAACCAGCCCCCCCCAAACACACACACACACACACACACTGAGTTGCTAAAGCCTGTAAGGTTACTTTCTATCTGCCCTATATTTTTCTGGTATAAACTAACGCAGGTATACCCTGTTTTCTTCATTGGAATGTAAGGTCCTAGAGGACAGAAATTGTCTCATGCCTTCTTTTTGTTTGTTTCTACCCTCAACACTCAGCTCAGATCTGGCTCATAGGTAATGCTTCATAAATGCTTGTTAATTGATTGTGGGCAGGGGAAAAAAAATTACATCCTTATTTCAATTTAATTGCGTTCTTTTGCAACCTCTTGCATTTATTTTTATGATCTAAAAACATGATTGTGAGAAGGGGTTACTATAGGTTTGGCCAAACTGCCAGAGGGGTCCAAGACACACAAAAAAGTTAAGACCGCCCACCCTCGAGGGACCAGGGAGCCTGAAGTCTTCTGGCCAGGGAACAGCATGGTTAGACCAATGCTTTAGGAACATCCCTTTGGCAGTTTTACCAAAGATGACCTGAAGGGGGGCCAGAGTGAAGGTAGGCAATGAGAGAGCTGTGTGTGTGAAGACCCATGAGGGTAAGGAGAAGACTTGAACTGAAGCAAACTCCTGAAGAAAGAACTCTATCTGCCAAAAGGTTCTGGTGAAACTAGAAAATAAATCCATCTCTAAAACAGACTGAAATCAGTACCTTAAACTACATAAATTGCAAATGACCAACCATCTAAATATAAAAAGGGACACCATCATTTTTACGTTTTAAAAAAGCCCAATCAACTAATTGGACATGATGATATGAAGGCAAGGGAGGCTGGATCACTCCAAGTCTGCAAAACCTGGGTAACTGGAAAAATGCTAACAGCCTCAGCAGAAATGGGTCAGTTTGGAAGAGGCATGCACTCAGGGGGAAGGCGATATTGAATTACATTCACAAGCGGTGAGCTTGAAATGTTGAACCAGAACTGTGAGGGAAGGGAACAAGGGAGGTAAGCCAGTTATCTACCCTGCAAAAAATCAGAGCCGTAACTGACACCCCTCACACATCCACACCCACACACACAGCTCAGTACAGAGGCAGGATTCAAAATAAATCTACGGAATCATCAGAATTTCTGTACATTTCTGCACATTTCTAACAAGATCTAGGAGAAAGAGCCTGGAAGAGAAATTCCATTTCACATAGGAACAAAATGCATTAATTATCTAGGAGTTAACCCACCAGGACATATGCAGACAGGACTCACAGAAAAAAAAAAAAAGACTGCAGAACAATTTTTACAGCAACACAAACTACTGAAGGTTCTGGTGAAACTAGACAAGATACTGGTTAAGAAAAAAATAGATTGAACTAAGCACCTTAAACTACCTGCTACCATAGATTCCAAATGGATCACCAATCAAATATTAAAAATGATATCATTTTCATAAAAGAAATCCGTGCAGAGTGGGAGGTTCTATCTTTCACATTCATAGATGGGGAAGAATTTTAAACAAGACATATGGTTAAAAAGATTATATCTTTAAAAACAAACAGGCAATAAGGTTTTGTCCCCCCCAAAAATCAATGAGGCTACAAATGGAAGAACTGGGGGGGGAATCTTTTTTTCAATATCTCCAATAAAGTCTAACAGCCAAAACCTAAGGGGAATTGACACAAATATATAAAATTAAGACCTAGAGGACAAGTGAGCAAAAGATATGAAGTTTTCTGGAGATAAAATACAATCAGCAACTACAGGAAAAATGTTTCAAAATCACCACTAATAAGATAAATACCAATTAAAATAATCCCATAATCAGCACAATGGCAAAGATAAAAAAAATTGATGAAAACTATGATTGATGGAAGGCTCATCCATTCACTGCTGGCGTCTCCACCATTCTGGAAAACAATCTGGAATTTTCCAGAAAAATGGCTAAAATGCTCCTGCACTTTGACCTTGAGATTATGCTCCTGGTTTAAACGCCCAGGAGGCTACAGGGAGAAGGAAAAGACCCATAGTTATTCAGATTTTCACAGCATTATTATTTGTGATACCGAATATCTGGAAAGAAAGTGTGAACAGCAGAACCAATTGGCTTGTGAAGGTAATGGAGACAGGAAACAGTGGAGGAAAGTGGGCACACCTGGAGGGGACGCAGGGCAGAGCAAGCCGGGCCGAGGACCACAACCATGAAGGAGGGTTAAGCCACCGAGAAAATGTGGTCTGCTTTCCCCAGTTAACAATGAAACGCAAACAGGGCTTTTAAACATCTACAAAGATACATTTTCCAAGAAACGCCAAACAAATGCTTCTCCCCCGCCCAAAAAAGTTCAGCTGAAAAAGGACGCCCAATAATTAACTGCGCCCTAAGCCAAAGAAAAGCCCTGGGAAAAGTCAGAAGAAACAAACCCGCTCCATTAGCAGGATAGGACAGAAAGACTGAAATTAACGCAACCCGGCGGAGTGAAATGTACAAGCATAGAGGTAAACTGAGGACCCCCGGCGCCTTCGTTCAGTTACTGAGTAACTTCGGACCAGAGAGATGAGGCACATACCTCGAAAGCTGCTCTAGGAGATCTCCAGAGAACCTGAAATGCAGGCCTCAGGGCCCCGCCCATTTATCTGCTCTAGGCCCCTCCCCCTCCTCTGCCCCCGCAGGGCCCCTCCCCCTCCTCTGCCCCCAGGTCCCTCCCCCTCCTCTGACCCCCAGGACTCCTTCTCGCCATCCTCCCAGGCCATAGCCCTTCTTTGACCGAGTACAAATTAAAAATTCCATTTGACCAGGGTCTTGCAGCTGATTTATAGAGGAATAGGTACACATATGCTGTCAGTAAAAAACAATGCTCTTGATACCTTCCTGTCCCGCATTCCCCACAAAAATGTGACCGATAAAGCATTTATTAAGTCCCCTACTGTGATGAATGGGCTGTCTTGGGTCCAAGAGATAACAAGAAAGAAACGTAAATGTCTCCTGCCCTCAAGGACTTACCTTGGGGGGGGGGGGGAGGGACAATACAAGTAAACAGACAAGTGTGCTGAGTCATGTCCAACTCTTCCTGACCCCATTTGGGATCTTCTTGGCAAGGACACTGGAGGGGTTGGCCATTTCCTTCTCATGCTCATTTTACAGATGAGGAAACTGAGGCAAACAGGGTTTAAGTGACTCGCCCAGGGTCTCACAGCTAGAGTTTGAGGCCAAATAGGAGCACATTCCATCCACTGCCCCCCCCCAGCTGTCCCAAAAGGGTGATTTGAGAAGGAAAGGATTATGGCTTTTTTGGATCTTTGGGGAAAATTTGGAAAGGTGAGGTGATTTCTTTCTGCTGTCTGAATTTTCCACATCTAGTGGCAAGTATGTCTCTAAATGAAGGATATTTTAGTAAATCCATAGTGGGAAGGAAAATAGAAGCCAGAAAGGGTCATGGTAAAGAGGGTTGGCTTCGGAGACAGAAGACCTGGGTTCAGATTCTACCTCTGATGATTACCATCCATGTGTGACTGTGAGTGGGTCGATTACTTCCTCAGCTCCCAGGATCTCCATTTCCTCATTTATGAAAGGGGGCGGGGCTCTATGTCACCTCTAAGCTACGCTCTAAATCTAAGACTGGAGGGACACACAAAACTTTCCTACTCAAATGAATTCTGTTGGA